CTAAATGAGGCACTCACTTTTCTTTTCTTTTTTTTTTTTTAAAGAAATGCAGTTTCACCAAGAATCTGTGAGAAAAGTCGCTCTTATAGGCTCATTGGTTTTTTTGTTTGTTGAATTTTTTTGGTGACTAGAAATGAGCAGAAATCATTGGAAGATTAAATGAAATCTATTAAAGTTTTCAATTATGTACCCTCAGACCCAGTAGTTCGTCCTTTACAATGGGCACGGGAATGCATGTACACGTCTGGAATACGTGATGGAGCTGTGGGCTATAGCAGAGTGGGGGCTATCACCGACAGTTCAATAAAGATGCTTTCCAAAGAACCAAAAACTAGCAAAACTCATCAAATGCATACCACATAATGTTCAAGATTGAATAAGTTGATGGGTCTGTATCCTTGATTTGATTATTTTACACTGTGTATGTTTTGTGTCCCACAAAGATGTCCAGTGAATATATGTAAACCAGGAATGACAATTAAAAACAAATCTATCCTACAGAATTAGCACAAGTTTACAGAAGTATGTTTTTTCTTTTCTTATCTTATCTTTTCTTTTTTTTTTTTTTTTTTTTGGGGGAGGTTTTTGCTATAGGGCATGTATGCTCACCAGGGGGGTGGCCACTTTGCTATAGAGCATGTATGCTCACCAGGGGGATGGCCACGCCACAATCCCTTCTCCTCCATTCTCCTCTCAGGATCTTGGGCACGCACGTACACGTGCCCAGCATGAGTTTAAGCCACCGGGTCTGGGACTCAAACCGTGGTTGACTACATGGAAGTCCAGGGATATAGCCATTATGCCAACTGCTGGTCCCTAGAAGTTTATTTTTAAGAACCCTTACTACAGTGTTTGTGATAGTAAAAGAACTGAAAACAATTCACATGCTTCTCAGCAGAGAGGTTTGCTTAGATAAACCTAATACTGTATCATAGACTGTAATACAGCCATTCAGAAGATTATGTGCTTCTATGGAAAGACTCACACGATAGATCACTGGAGATGAAGTTTTAGACCAATCCGTGTAGGGTCTTCAAAAAGTTCACAAAAAAATGTATTATATTAAAAAACCACTCTGCATGGATTTCTAAAATTTGTTGTACCAAAATAAGCTCATAGGGCCAATAGGTGGTGTAGTGGTTAACGTGCCAGATTCCCAAATGGCTGGCCATTGTTCAGTTTCCAGACTTGGAGGCTTGAAGCTCATACCGGACATGTGTGCATGTGTGCCCAAAATCTTGGGAGGAGAATGGAGGAGAAGAGATTGTGGCATGGCTATCACCACTGGTGGATGATTTCTCACCTTCTCTTTTGTTGTCTTGCTCTGTTTCCCTGGTGAGCACATGTGCTCTATAGCAAAAGTCTCTCTCAAAAAATAAATAAACTTAAATTTTAATTCTATTTTTCCATAAACTTTCTGAAATATCCTCATCTATGACATGGTCCATGAGTCATTAAAAATGACTTTGGGGGTCAGCAGTTAATATAGTGCTTAAGGCACTGGACTCCCACTTGACTGACCATAGTTCAAGTCCTGGACCCAGCAACTTGAAACTCATGCCAGATGCATGTACGTGTGCCCAAAATCCTGAGAGGAGAGTGGACTGTGGCCTAACTATGCCCCTGGGTGATTTCTAGCTTTCTGCCTGTCTGTCTGTCTGTCTCTCTCTCTGTGTCTCTCTGTCTCTCAGCGAGTGCGTCTGTTCTATGGCAAAAAATAAAAATAAAAATAAAATCTCAAAATTAAATACCTTTGTGTAAGTGACGTATATGTAAACAAAGGTTTGTATGCAGTCGAAGGTTAATATCTAGTGTGCGAGACTCCTACCAGCAGTTACCGCTGGGGAGTGGGACTGGAGAGATGGAAACTCTCATTTATTTTATAAATTTGTAATGGTTTTACAAATCCTTCTTTCTTTTTTGAATTTCTTAATTTTTCAATGAAAAAGTAAAATTTAAAAACTTATAAACTTTTAAAAAACATCTCCAGGGAGTCAGAAAGTGATATCTAGTGTGCGAGACTCCTACCAGCAGTTACCGCTGGGGAGTGGGACTGGAGAGATGGAAACTCTCATTTATTTTATAAATTTGTAATGGTTTTACAAATCCTTCTTTCTTTTTTGAATTTCTTAATTTTTCAATGAAAAAGTAAAATTTAAAAACTTATAAACTTTTAAAAAACATCTCCAGGGAGTCAGAAAGTGATGTGATGGTTAAGATGCTAGACTCCCACATGGCCAACCACAGTTTGAGGTCTGGACCAGGCAGCTTACTTTTTCACTTTCCCTCTTTCTTTCTTTCTCTCTGTCTCTCTCTGGTGAGTTCACATGCCCCATAGCAAATTAGAAAATAATAATAATAAATAAATAATTTAAAATAATAATAATAATAATAAACATCTCCACCTTAGCCAAGACAGCCTGGGCCTCTTTCCTGTAGCCTGTAGGCTCAGGGCTAGTCCCTGGGCAGAATCTGCAAGCCCCTAACCCTGAGGGGTTCCACAACTGCCATGGGAGATAGGCGTCACAGCAGGAAGCCTTTCCTTCAGTCCAGCCTTATAAACGCTCTCCCTCTTGCTTTGGAGAAGGGATGTAAAGCTTTCTTCAGAGAAAAAAAATTTTTGGCTCTGGTCAGCAGTCTTCAGAAGGAAGGAGGAAAAACTTAAAGAATTTCTATTCACTGGTCCTAGGCAACAGTCGTGGCTGTGATTTCATCATCAGTTGTTGTTTTACCTGGGCACAAGTGCTTACAGTTTCCTGGGAAGCAATGATGCAGGGCCCAGTATCCTCTAACAGACAGAGTAGACTCAGAGAGGTTAAGCTGTTTGCTCATTGTAGCATACCAACTCTCCTTCTTTGATCTTTTTCCATTGGAAATGCTCCTTGGATCTGCTCCAGGGGAATAACAGCTGAATGGCCTAGATTAGGAGGTACAACCTCAAATGTCCCCAATGGCTAGCCTCATGACATAAATAAGTGAAGCTGACCAAGTTGTGATGAATGGAGTGCTGAGTTTGTGGCAAATTGTGGACCAAGGTGGCAGGATCTTCTAAATAACCAAGAAAGTGATGAAACAAGAATTTAATGAATGAATGTCTTCATTTTTACATACCACTAGTTAATCCTTTAATGAATGAATGTCTTCATTTTTACATAATAGTAGTTAATACAAAATTAACTATATACTATAAATCTAGACTATATACTATAATACTATATACTACTATTTGGGCTAAGCAGAGCCTTCCTGCAGGCTGGATTTACCACATGACCATGACTATACAATTTCTGGCTTGTTGGTCACCCCTAATCCTACTCAACAACTGGCCAGTGACTGAAGAGTTGACAGACTATGGCCATTGATTCTTTGACATTGCTTTGACCTCTTTCACATCTGCTCAGCTGCATTTTTAAAATATCTGTCATTTTATATTTTTCAGATCATTATTTGTACATGTTTATTGAAGACATAATTTAAAAATGAAGAACGATGAAAAATAAATGTCCTACCACCCTCTTGGTTATTGATAGTTTACTGTTTTCCTCCAATCTTTTTGAGAGTGTACATATTTATTTTGATAAATACAAAATTATTCATTTTGCAACCCACATTTTCACTCACTTTTATATGATAAATATATTTTCATATTACTAATTTTTCTTCAGAGAAAAAAATTTTTAGAGGTTTTCTTTGTTTTATTTTTGTTTGTTTGTTTTTAGGGCACATATACTCACAGAGAGAGAAAGAGAGTGACATGAAGTGAGAAATAACCCCCTAGGGGGGATGACCACACCACAATCCCTTCTCCATTCTCCTCTTAGGATCTTAGTCACTCATGCACATGAGACTGGTGTGACCTGTGAAGCCACTGGGTTCAGGACTCGAATTGCAGTTGGCCATGTGGGAGTCCAGTGACAAAACCACTATGCCATCTGCTGGTCCCAAAGACTTTATTTTTAATGATTCCATAATAGTGCATTATGTAAATATAACCTACTTACTTGAGGAGTAATTTCCTGTGTGATCTTAAGCAAGTTACTTAACCTCCCTATGCCACAATTTTCTCTTGTAAAATGGGGATAGTAATAGAGGCTATTTTATAAGTCTGTTAATGTAAGGTTGAGGAAGTACAAAATTTAAAGGACATTGTTTACCAAAGAATAAACATTAAATATGCAATTGTTTTCTATTTATTATTATTATTATTGTGGCTTTATACAAATACATCTCTTTTTTTTTTTGGAGAGATTTTTGCTATAGGGCGCGTGCGCTCGCCAGACAGACAGAGAGAGACATTAGAGACAGAAAGCGAGAAATCACCCCCCAGGGGGGATGGTCACGCCGCAATCCCTTCTCCTCCATTCTCCTCTCGGGATCTTGGGCACGGACGCACACGCGCCCGGTGTGAGTTTTAAGCCACCGGGTCCAGGACGCGAACCGCGGTCGACTACGTGGGAGTCCAGCGACATAGCCATTACGCTAACTGTTGCAGGTTCCCTATACAAATACATCTTTACCTGAATTTTTATTATTTTTTATAATAAATTACTATGAGGGAGTTATTGATTAAAGGGTATTAATATTTTAAGGCTCTTAATTTGTATGGTCAGATAGTCCTCTGGTAAGGCTGTTCTAATTTCCAGCAGAGTGTGGGGTGCCTATTTTTCCATATCCTCTGAAATGTAAGTTATTTTTCTTTTCTTTACATTTCTCCAAAACAAATAACTTTGGGCCTCTTTGTCTAATAGATTAGAACTCAAACATTCTTCTTTTTCTGACTGTTCTTAGAGATTGACCTGGGGTTTCGAAAATGATCCTAGTTATTTTGTATTTGTTGTACTAATTTAAATGGAAAATCTGTGTCATTTAGTGATTTTAACTCATTTACATTTATTGCCATTTTTCATATGCTGTTTTGTTTTCTGCTAGTGGATTCCACAGATCACTCCCCAACAGATATTTGTGAAGTGCTGACCTGGGGTCTCTGGGGTCTGTTCCAGAAACTACTCAGATTGAGGATCCTAGAGTACAATGGCGACGAGAGCAAGAACATATGCTGAAGGATTATCTGGTGGTGGCCCAGGAGGCCTTGAGTGCACAAAAGGAGATCTACCAAGTGAAGCAACAGCGCCTGGAGCTCGCACAGCAGGAGTATCAGCAGCTGCATGCCGTCTGGGAGCACAAGCTTGGCTCCCAGGTCAGCTGTGAGTACCTCCTACCACCACCCCCACCAATACCAGTAGTGAATAGCCACACTGAGTCCTGCTGATTGTCCTTCTGAGTGCTTCTCAAAACTGGCCAATTTTCTTCATCTATACTCTATGTCCAAACCACCATCCTCTCTGCTGCTCTTGCTGTTCCTACTTGTACCTTGCAATAATTAATATACTGTTTGTATTCTATTTCATTGGTGACCACCTAAGTTAGATTACATATCTATTTGTTTAAAACTCATTGGTGGCTAGGGGGAGTGAGAAGTTCTTGTTCAATGAGTACAAGATTTCATTTGGGGAGGAAATGATAAAGTTCTAGAGGTAGATGATAGTAATTGATAATAGTACATTCACAGTAATATATATTATTCTTTCAGTCTGTCTGTAGATATAGTTTCTAAAATTAAAAGTCAAGTGAGAAAAAGAGTCAAACAGTGTAAAATGAAGCATTCCACAACAAGTGCTTTAGTGGACGGTAGCAGTCATTATATTCTGAAGCCAGAAGGCCTCTGCTCAGGTCTTCATTCCAGCATTACAGTGTTCATTTGGGGAACATACTTCACCTCTTTTTGAGAGGTTTTCGCTATAGGGCGTGTGCACTCGCCAGACAGACAAAGAGAGACATAGAGACAGAAAGCGAGAAATCACCCCCCAGGGGGGATGGTCACGCCGCAATCCCTTCTCCTCCATTCTCTTCTCGGGATCTTGGGCATGCATGCACACATGCCCGGCGTGAGTTCTAAGCCACCAGGTCCAGGACATGAACCACGGTTGACTACGTGGGAGTCCAGCGACATAGCCATTATGCTAACTGCTGGTTCCATACTTCACCTCTTTAAGTCCCAGCATCTTTATGTTTAATTGTGAAAATACTTACTGTGCCTTAATCTTGCAGATTCTTGTCAAGATTTCTTAACCTCTGTACTTTTGGGGTTGGGCAAATCTTCATTGTGTGGGCTGTCCTGTAGTTTATAGGATGTTTAGCAGCATCCCTAGTCTGTACCCACTAAATGCTAGTAGCACATGCAACCCAGAGGTGTAATAGCCAAAAATATCTACAGACATAGACAAATGTGCCCCAGGGAGGCAAAATTATCGCTAGTTTAAAAGTATTGGTCTATGTAAAACATCTGGCATAATTTCCTTAGAACACATTGTTGGCTCAATAAATACTTTTATTAACAGTATACACATTACATAATATTTTGAGAGTGTGTATTCTGGAGCCAGGCTGGCTGGGTATGCAAATGATTAGCAGTATAACCTTGCCCAAATTATGCCAATTCAGTGCCTCAGTTTCCTTTGTCTGTGACATTTATCTAATAATAAATAGTATGATCAAAAATAATAATAAAGATGGGTTGGCCCCATATCAAAGCTATTAAGCTCTGCGGATTCCATATGGACAACCAGGGTTTGAGTCTTGACCTTACTGGCTTGAAGTCATCCATGCACATGTGGGATAAAGAATTGAAAGAATAAGGGTTGTGGCATGACTGGGCTTCCTTGGGGCTGGGGAGTGATGTTCTCCCTACTTCCCCCATTTTTTGCATGTGCATTCATACACCTCCTGACATTTAAAAAAAAAAAAAGTACGAACTTCATAGGAGCATGATGGGGCTTAAATTAGTTAACAAATGTAAAGTACTTGTCAGATTCTTAAGCTCTCATTAAATAATAAAAATTATTATGACTACTCATTGACATTGTAAATGACAAGGCATTTTAACAGATCCTTGGAATTGATAAGTGTACGATCAAAAGTTGGAAATAAATCATACAGTTCCTTAGCCTTGTCATATGATTTCTAGACACTTGTAAGAGCTACACCAGTCTCAAAGACACTATTCTAAATGTTAAAGTTCTTCCATCTGAAGGGACTGAGGTCATTTTAGACAAAGGGGTCTAAAATACAAATGAGCCAGGGACTGGGGAGTGCCCAGCCCAAACTTCTCAGTTAAATGAAACTTGGCCCAAGCTTCACTGTGACTCTTCTCCTGGGTTTTACAAGTCAGATTTGCCTTCCAAGTCGAGCTCTCTGGCATGACAGATTGGTGAAATCACATGCCTCTCCTTTAACTCAGATGGCCTGCCAGGGCTTGTGCCACTTTTGCGAACTGGCCTTGGCGGGTAGGGCCCTGCCTTGGGGATGGAATCTGTTGTCAACTCTCCAGTGTAACCTATAGCTCTCTGGGGAAGGATCAAAGTACTACCATTTAATGTGCACCTACTGTATGCCTGGAGAATAATATGCTAGGCTCTCTGCATGAGTAAGCTCCCCATTCACTCACATACACAGTCCTGCCAGACAATGTCCCAATTCCAAAGACAAGGAAACTGAGGCCCTGAAAGGAGGCAGTAGCTAGTAAAAGTGGCAGAGCTAACATTTACACACAGGTGCATCTGACCTCAACACCAATTGTGTTAATTTAATCCAACTCAGCCAGTCAAATACAGAAGTTCTTAGGCTACACTTGATTCATCCCATCCTCTCAAAAGGGAGGATTCAGAACAGTGGTGTTCTTCGAGACCTCCCCACACTCCTTCTTCTCTTTAGGCCTTGGTTTCGTTCTCACTTAAAAAATAAATCACTGGAGGGAACCAGCAGTTAGCATAATGACTATGTCGCTGGACTCCCATGTAGTCGACCGCGGTTCGCGTCCTGGACCTGGTGACTTAGAACTCACGCCGGGCGCGTGTGCATGCATGCCCAAGATCCCGAGAGGAAAATGGAGTAGAAGGGATTGCGGTGTGGTCATCCCCTCTGGGGGGTGATTTCTCGCTTTCTGTCTCTATGTCTCTCTCTGTCTGTCTGGCGAGCGCACGCGCCCTATAGCGAAACTACCTCTCCAAATAAATAAATAAATAAATAATTAAATCACTGGGAGCCTTGCAGTTAAAAATGTGAGTTGAACCATCCACCTGACTTTACTCTCTCCTGAAACTAAGAGATAAGAGTTTGGAGTTAGTTTGTTTTAAGGTTTATGTATATGAGGACAGGGAGAATTGGAGAAGAAAAAGCACTGATAGACGTGGAAGACAGAGCGCAGACACACAGTTGACAACCTACTTGGTAGACCAAAGAGAAAATGGACCCGACAAAACTGTAATCTACATAGAGCATTTGCACAAGCCTTGGGAATTGGTGGCAACAGCTATCTCTGGAAGTGGGAGTAAAGTGAAGCAAGTCTCAAATAAAGATAATTATTTGATAGTTATTTGACATTTGATAAAAATATTGATAATTATAAAGATGAAAACTGCTTCTAAGATGGTTAGAACATCAGATTCTCTTCCCAAATTAGTATAGCCAAGCAACTGCCCATCTCCAACATGGCTAAAGACTGGAAGATCACTTTTTGGAGAAGGTAAAACAGAATCTCTGGACCAGAGATACCAGAGGAAATCAAAGCCAGGGTGACCATAATGGAAACACAGTGATTAAGTGAACATGGGACATACAGGGTTTTAAGACAGCCCTCTAGGTTGAGTAATAGAAAATATCTGGGAAATCTGACCAGGAAAAAAGAGATATAAAGAAAAAAAAGATGTAAAGGCATTGACATTGAGTATTCCTGGATGAAACCATTCAGACACATTGTGAATCATGCAACCCATAGTCTGCAAGCTCTACTCCAATCAGCTTTTTAGGCCTCACTCTTAAATGTGAGTGTACAGCTCCCAGACATCTCAGGGAAGCCTTTAACAGGAAAAGTAGGGACAAAACTCAGCACACAATGAAGGGGAGATTGCATGGGGAACAAAACATCAAGAGAAGCAACATAGCCATGAAACAAAATCAAGGTACTGTGTTTTACAAAAAATAATAATAATAACCTTAAGAGAACAAAATTGCCTTTGGAAATTAAAGTATGATGGTAGATGATAAGTCCACAGGAAGACTGGAAAATAAAACCAAGGAAATCTAAAATTTTAAAGGTTAAAAAAAGAGAGAGAGAATGAAATTTAAAAATAAGAGAGAAAAATAGTAGAGCACCAGGTCAGCAAATTCACTGTCTGAGGGGTAAGTTCCATGTAGGGCAGTGGAAACAGAGGGGAAGAAACATCAATAAAATAATTCAGAAAAATTTCCCAGAACTAAAGGAGAAGAGTTTTTAGACTGAGCAGGTTCACTGAATATCCAACACAACAGATAAAAGTAAACTCACACCAAGATATATCATTGTGAAGCTTCAAACAGTGGGAACAGTTCAAGATCCTGAAAGCTTTTAGAGAAAAGTCAGGTCACATAGAAATGATCAAGACTAAGAATAGCTCCGGATTTCTCATCAGTAACACTAGAAGCCTAAAAGAGAATGTCTCAATGCCTTCAAAATCTTAAGGAAAACAATTTCTGATCTAGAATTCTATACCCAACAAAACTACCTTTAATCAAGTATAACAGTAAATATATTTTTAGACATGCAAAATTTTTAAAAGTTTATTTCCTTCTAGGAAGCTACCAAAAGTAGGTGATGGTCTACTAAACTGAGAGAATAGACAATAAGGAGAGAGACATGGTATTCAGGAAAGAGAATAGAGGCAAGGGCACCCATAATAACATGACGAGGGCTCTCAAAAGCAGCTAACTCCCACTGAAGTAGGGCAGAAGCCTGGGTGAGAGGTATCCAAAGAGCTGGCAGGATGTATACTGGTCTGAACTCTAAAAGAGGAGATTTAATTAACTGGCAGAGTCTGAGGTTGAATTTGCGATAAGTTTGTAGAAGCTGAGCAAACATTAAAATGACAATTATTAACTCAAGAGGGGGAAAAAAAGTAAGTAATGTTGGCTAGCTAACTCTGTCCCCAAATAGTGTTCACAGAGTAAAAATTATGCAAACGTGAGAGATTGCTTTCACTAAAGTATGCTATATCTTTTAGGAAAATAGAGAGGTAAGAGGGTGTGCATATGTGTAATGAAGAAGCAGGGAAAGGAATGTAAGCCTATTGTAAATCTCCCTCTATTAGGGAGAAAAGAGGGGGGGAAAAAACCCTAATTCTAAAAAGATAAAAGAGCGGCAATACAAGGCTAGCCTGCCTGTGGGGTGCTGGTTTAGGCTGTGGTTCCACATAGCTTACTGCACATTTCTAGACCCAGTGGCTGGGATAAAAACATGCCACGCACATGTGTGGGCATATCCAAAATCCTGAAAGGAGCGAGAAATAGAAGAGAAGGGATCATGGTGTGACTACCTCCATGCTGTCTGTCTTTTTCTCTGATGCACATGCCCCTGGCAAAATTAAATAAATTTTTTAAAAAAGGCAGTAATACTTGCATATTAGAGACATTAGGTAGATAACTAAGAAATTGGCTGACCACATTGAAAGTGGTTCTCTTTCAGGGTGTGAGTTATGAACCTGTGAATTGTCCTTTTTTATAGCCAACTTTGTATTATGTTAGACTGTTAAGCTGTGTTCATATATAACTTTAATAAAAACTAAAAATGAAAAACTATTTTTATAAAAGGGATAAGACTTGTAAGTCTTTAAATTCCTGTTCAAATATAAAATTCCTTTGGTTGAGAGTAGTGATGAGATTCAGACACAGAAGGGAGGCTGATGATCTGTTTCTTAATTGAAATGCTAATTACATGAGTGTGTTCCTTTTTTTTTCCCCATGTAACTTTATTTATTTATTTTAATTTGACCAGAGAGGGACAGAGTGGAAGAGGGGAATGAGAAAGCAAGTCACTAGGCCTGGGCCTTGAACCACAGTCTGCCGTGTGGAAATCCAGCACCCTTAACCACCATTCCACCTGCCCGCCCCTTTTTTAAAAATTTTACTGTAGGCCGGGCGCACATGTTGGAGAGATAGAGCAAAAGAAAGTGAGAAAACACCTCCCATGGGGGATGACCGCACCCGCACCACAGTCCCTTCTCCTTCATTCTCCTGTCCACATTTTGGGCATACATGTACATACACCTGGTGTATTTTTCCAGTCACAAGATCAAGGACACAAATCATGCAGTTGACCATGTGGGATCCAGCTGCCGCGCTCACTGTGATGTTGCCCCAGGTGTAGAACCTTGTCCAGTGGCACAGCTGATGAGCAAGGTGGTGGGCAGGGCAGGGTGCTCAGGGAACAGGTGCCTCCCTTTCTGTGTGTGTCCTCAACTTGTTTGCTCAGAGAAAATTTCTCTTTTATTTTCATCATGGTCTTACTATTGATCAGTGGGTAACAATTAGTGTTAACAACCTTAAAATTCTGTTAGAAAATGGTACTTAAGGTGATGTCCCCAGCAATGTTTTCAGCCAGGTCTCACCTTGAAACCTGCAAGTCCAACGAAGACCAGAGAAATTAGAAGACAAAGGGTGAGGGGCCAGCAGGTGGCGTGGTAGTTAAGGGCACTGGACTCTCAGATGGCCAAGCGCGATTTGAGTCCCGGACCTGGCGCCTTGCTTTCTCACCTCTCTCTCTCTCTCTCTCTCTCTCTCTCTCTCTCGTCAAATGGAAATAAGTAAAAAAAATAATTCTTAAAAAAAAAAAAAAAAAAGACAAGGAATGAAAACTCCAGCACGGAAAGTACACCTCTCTGTCCCTAGAGTCCCTGTTCCATGCTCTAGACCAGGGTGACAAGGCCATCTGCACCTGCATGTTGCCCACATGCGTGTCTTCTGGTAAACCCTGGCCTTCATCACTGTCATCATCCGACTCAGTGGAAACAGAACATTGCATGTGATGCAAAACATCTTTTATGTTCCGGAAGTTTTTCTCTTTCTCAGACTTTCCCTTCTGACTTTGCTCATGTCTTATCAGAAGGCCTATTAAACTATTTTAACCAAATCCAAAGAACAGCATCCCCTCATGACTGTCACTTCCAGACACTGAAAATTGTCAGCAACCTTCAAATAAAGCTTCTGTATCCTCAGAAAAATCCAGATCTTAGCGGGAATCCACATGTGAACAGGCAGGGTGTTCGGGTGACGGTAAGTGGGAAGGGGAAATGGAGAAACTGCTGAAGCCATGTGACCAAGGACTCCCCAGAGAAACAGCTCTCAGGCTGCCCAGGAACAACTATCCTGTTCTGAATAGTGGGACCGCTTTTGCCTGCAGGACACCACAAGTCTGAGGTCCGGCTCTTTTTCCCACTTCACATGACCAGCTAGGAAGCTCAGAGCCAGGTTGTGCTATGCCCTAACCTCATGCTTCTTTTTTTGTTTTTGCCTTGTTGCCCTTATTTTCCCATTGTCTCATTTTCCTTACTTAAAGTATATTTTACTGGGTTCTGTTCACCTTCATAAGCCTTAACATCCATTTTCAAGAAATAAGTAAATTCTGTTTTAAAGGTACAGTAAGATTATAGCTACACGATAGAATCATAGATAAACATTAGACAGCAACTTGGGCAAAAGATCAGGATCATAGGGTTATGGATAATTTATTTTTCTTTTCAAAGGCTCATTAATATTATAAAGTAGAATAATTTTATTGTGTTTTGTATGAATTTATTGTAATTTTTGTAATTTTGTAATTTTTCTAATTATAGGAAGTTCATGAGAGAAAATGGAAAATACAGAAAAACGTAGGGATGAAAATTAATATTCCTGAATTAATATTCATCATCTCTCTAGAAATCAGTGTTATCTTTTTGGTATATTTCTGGTCTTTTTTTAGATGTGTATGTGTGTGTCTATATTTGTCATCTGTGTATATTTACCAAATATAAATTATTCTTTACATTTTTTTAAGCTTGTTTTTATGTAACAGTAAGTTTGAGACATTTCCCCCCATCATTCAATATTTTCCTGTACCATCATTATAAATTGGGGAAATCATGTGTCCCCTATTTTACCCATGTACCTTATTTATTAACGCATTCCCCTTTGCTGGACACTCAGTTGTTCCTTAATACTCCTCTGTCTGGGTTCATTTAGATGGCCAAATAAACCACCTCTGCTGGAATGTTGTTTCTTCTACTGAAGTTCTTTTTTTTTTTTTTTTTTTTCTTTTTTACTTACAGTGGTTTCTGGTTCATCATCCAGCTCTAAGTATGACCCGGAGATCTTAAAAGCTGAAATTGCCACTGCAAAATCCCGGGTAGGGCTTCTTCATCTGTGTCGTGAATGGGCCCGCCCCCCGCCCCGAGGCCAGTGCAGGTGTCTCGGCCTGGCTATGGCGGCCAGTGCTAACAAGGCTCTAATACTTCAGAAGTGGTGATAATATGATGGACGGAAGCTACCGTTTCACATGCACTCCCTGTACCAGACGCGCTACTACCGCGTAATCTGCATTACCTTATTAACTCATGATTACCTTGGGGGATAGGTATTAGTATTCCTCATCTGCTGACAAGGTGACTAAGACCAGTAGTTAAGTGACTTGCTCGTGGTAAAGTCAGTATTTTGAACACTGGTTGAATTAAACCCCAAGTCATTTCTACAAATGCAGATACCTGCAAGAAAACACAAATGGAGAAAGTGATGTTGGGGTGAGGCAGAAGGGAGTAGTAGGGACTGGTACCCTAGGGAAGTATACTCTATCTAAAGGGGTAATGGAAACTCATCTTTCTTAAAGGAGATTTTTGCTAAAGGGTGCATGTGCTCACCCAAGAGACAGAGACAGAAAGCAAGAAATCACCCTCCCCCCATCCCCAATGGGGAATGGCCATGCCACAGTTTCTTCTCCTTCATTCTCCTCTAGGGATTTTGGGCATTTCCGCACACACACCCAGTGTGAGTTTCAAGCCACTGGGTCCAGGACTTGAGCCATGGTCGGGCACGTTGGAGTCCAGCACCTTAACCACTATGCCACCTTGTGGCCTCTAGAATTTCATCTTTCGTTTGTATGCTGAAATATAGGCTCAGTGTTAACATATTAAAACATTCATAATACAGTGAAGGCTGAAAGGCCTGACTCCCAGGGCACCTCTTACCTCTAAGGTTCCCACAGTTGCCTCTCTCATCCCTTGTCTGCCCAAAGTCACACACGACCCTAGAGACTGCCATTATCCTCATCCATCCAAACAGGACAGGGAGGCTCACAATGGTACGATACCGTGAGAGAGATCACACAGCTCAGAAGTGGGAAGGCCTAGCTCTTTCCCAGGTCAGTAGTTCTCTGCTTCCTGTTTCCTTGGAGCAAGGCCTAGCTAGGTGCGACCTTAGGAAAACTGGTCGGGATGCTGACTGAATGCGCAGCTGCAGACCTAAGACCAGCATCGGTGAGGAAAGGCTGTTTTGGCTAGTGGGCTCACGGATGTTGACTCGAGTCATTGTACAGGAGCATTGGAGGGCTCTGGGTTCCTCTTTCAGGACAAGGCAGCCTCTGACCCAGCCCCATTGTTGTCTTCTGCCCTCAGGTCAACAAACTGAAGAGAGAGATGGTTCACCTGCAGCATGAGCTGCAGTTCAAAGAGCGTGGCTTCCAGACCCTGAAGAAGTAAGTCCACCCTGCCCTGCAAAGCAGTGGAGTCCCTCTCCCAGGACCACCTCTGGCCTCTCTCCTCGAAAGGTGGCTCTGTCACTCCATTCCAGTTCTGTTCCCCTGGCATTTACTGAAGATGCTGCATGCCCAGTGGGGGGGCTTGGAAAGAGGAAAGGGAGGTCTCTTTGTCCTCTGAACTCCTGAAGTCATTAAGGTCCGTTTCACTCTTCAGTCACAGAAATAAGTATTACTGAGCGTTCCTGTGTGTGTCTCTTCTAGTAGATCCGGTAGGGTCTTACGTGCACACAAACGAAACAAACCGCCTTTCCCCGTGGCCCCTGAAAATGAGTGGCCACTTCTGAGCTCCAGTGAAGGAACAATGGTCTCTTCCAGCCACCGATTACTAGAAAAGTATGCGTGATATTATGTGTGTTCTCCTTTATGAGTAACTTAAGAACTTTTCAGGGTAACTGAGCAAATGTAATTTTTACTTAGAAGCTTACTTGCAGCCAAGTGAGAGCTCTTTTGTTTCACAAGAGCAAATGTGTTCATTGTCACAATAATGATTATACTAGCCATGATTTGTTGAGCACCTACCCTATCCAAGAAACTCATTTGAGGTCAACAGATGACATGGTTGTTAAGGCACTGGACTCCCGCATGGCCTACTGTGGTTCAAGTCTCCCTTAGACTGCCAGGGAGGCCACACCTCTGCAGATGGCTGTTGCCATAGTCGCTTGATTTTCTCTCTTTCTGACTATACCTTTTCTTCATCTCTGCACCTAAAAGCCACTTCTCCTATCCTGTGGCCACAGCCCTGAGCCCTTGGGTGCCTGTCTCCACGCCCAAGCCCTACTAATTAAGGGAATTGTAGCTACCAGTTAGGGAGCCAGCTGGTTCTTATGCGCATCTTCTCTCCTAACCCTCACCATCTGGGATGAGCTGTCATGAATCCAGCACAAAACATGATCTAAGAAAGTATGGCTTGGGGTCAGCAGGTGACATAGTAGTTAAGACACTGGACTCCCACATGGCTGACTGCGATTGGAGTCCTGGGCCCAGCAGCTTAATAATCATACTGGGACACTAGCAGTTGGTGTAATGGCTATGTCATTGGACTCCCATGTAGTCAACCACAATTTGAGTCCCAGACCCAGTGGCTTAAACTCACACTGGGCTCGTGTGCATGTGTGCCCAAGATCCCGAGAGGAAAATAGAAGAGAAGGGATTGCGGCATGGCCATCCCCCCCTGGGGGGTGATTTCTCGCTTTCTGTCTCTCTGTCTCTGTCTTTCTGGCGAGTGCATATGTCTATAAACCCCGGCGGGGAGAATGGAGGAGAAGGGACCGCAGTGTGGACAACCCCCTGAGGGGTGAACTTTCTTTCTCACTGTCTTTCTCTGGCGAGTACACATGCCCTATCACAAAAAAACTAAAAAAAAAAAAAAAAGACTATATTACACATTTTTTTTGTTCTACAAATCACTAAGTGATGTCATATATCTGTTTACATAACTGTTACATGTGTGATGCACATGCACACATGTGCCAATCCTGCCTCCCAAACAGATTCTAAACTCATTGGAGCCAGGGACCATCTTGGCAAGCTTCAGTGGTGCCAAGGACAGTTCAGGGCAGGAGGCAAGGTTAGACAATCCCTGTTTTTGATCTGTTAAAGTAATAGCCTCAGTCCTCCCTTGCACATAGTTTTAGAGTTGCTCACTCCTGCATCATCTTGCCCTCCCCTCCTCTGGGATCCCACAATCCTCAAGAGAGCTCCTGGTTAGAGCACTTGCCATTATTCTCAGAGCCACCCCAAACCTGTTTTACCACTTTGTCACCCTTAGCAGCAGTGAAAATTCCTGTCCTTGGTAAACTGAAGCTGAAACCCCAGAGACAAGCCTCTGTTCTTCTCCCCTCTCTCTGCCCCATGTTTGATTTCTGGCCCAGATAAGACTCTTGCAGCTCTGTCTGCCCACACTCCCTAGCTGGAAGCCTGCTCATCCAAAGCGGAAGAAGCCACCTGTTTTATGTACACCTTAGCGTAGAGGGCTGGGAACGTTGCCTCAAGAGGCAAATGACCCCAGGTTCAAATCCAAGTTCCCAAGAACCTTGGGAAAATGACTCAGTCCCTCTGAGCTTCGATTTCTTTGTCTGAAAAAACTAATGGTTGTGAAGATTAAGTTGATAAACCCCATGTCAAGTGCACGACAGAACCTGGCATGTAGAAAGTGCTTGTTGAGATTAGGGTGGGGTGGTGACCTCTAGCTGCCTGCTTAGATTCGGGAAGGGAACGCAGATGAACTGTACATCTGCCCAGGGCTAGAGGCCTAGCCAAGGAGGCTCTTCATACCAGGACCTCATTTCATTCTCCTTAACCAACACCCCCATTTATTTATTTATTATTTGTTTGTTTGTTTGTTTGTTTAAAGATTTTTGCCATGAGGGTTGTGGGCTCGCCAGATCCCACATTTTAGAGATGAACAGAGACAGAGAGAGAGAAGAAGTGAGAAATCACCCCCTCTCTCCCTCCCCAGGGAGGATGGCCATACTGCAGTCCCTTGTCCTCCATTCTCTTCTCGGAATTTTGGGCACACAAGCACACGTGTCCGGCATGTTTTTTACCATCAGGTCCAAGAATCTAACTGTGGAGTCGGCCGTGTGGTATCCAGTACCTTAACCACCACACCACCTGCTGTGCCTATCTTTGTCCCTTTCTAGAGGTGTGTTTGTTCTGCCCCCTTTCATAGATGAGAACGGTAACAGTTGAAAATTCGCCCAGGACCGTGGAGCTAGCAAGTGTCAGAGCTGGGACTAAAACCCACACTGTTAGATTTCGAAGCCCATGTCTCAATGCCTCTCTTACCAGTATTATTCTAGCATCCCAGATAACCACCCTCCTCATACCCAGAAAACATAAGGCTCTTTTCTGTCTCCCTTGGAATCCTTTTTAGAGTCTAGACGAGGACAGTCCAGTCATTTCCATCTTTGTAAACTATGTGGGAAGGTAAAACTCTCATGTAAGGAGCGACTGAGGAGTTGAGTTGCCAGGATAACTTTGACCAAATGTAATTTTCACTTTTAGAGGCTGATCTGCAGCCAAGTAAGATACAGCTCTGTGTGTTGTTTCCCAGGAGCCGCTGTGTTAACCATCACGGCTGGGATTATGCGGGCCAAGATTTGCTGAGCAGCTACTCAGTGCTGCAAAGCCATTTGTTCGCTTCATCAACAGCACCCCTAGTTTGGAAAGAAAAGAGAAAAAAATGTTTGCTGAGGACTGAGGGATATGTCAATAGAAAAATCAAGATGAAAGCTTTGGGCTTTGGCCGGTCAGTTCCCTTGAGCGCTTGTGAACAGAAACAGTTGAGAGTCGAGACTTGGCAGCTCATGGGTGGGGAGATGCAGCCTCTTCCTGCATGTCCCCACAGCCCATGTGCCCAGGTAGGAGCTGTCTGGACAAGACCAGGAGGTGTGGGCTCTGTCAAAACTCTGCCCGGCTTGTCTGTGGATTCCAGGCATGTGACTCTCTGGAAGCCTGAGACAAGGGACAGCTGCATGACTTGGAAATCCTCAAACACAAGCCATCCACCCCCACACACATACACACACAGACATTTTCTTTCTCACACACACACACTTTTCTTTTCCCTTGACGAAATGTTAAAAGATGCATTCACCACGTGCATAATGGCGACCATTTGTTCTCCCTCCAGCCCCTCCCCGCCCCAGCTTCATCCCAAGAGCGTACTCTCAGGGCTGCTGTGGAGCCGAATTCCAGAGCCCGGGTTGCTAAGGCCCTTGAAGGAATCAGGTAGAGGCTGTTTGAGGCCCAGTAGACAAATCGCCTCTGTCCCGTCCTGCTGGGGACTCTGCCATTCTTGCCCTGTTAGCAGAAGACAGCTGGGCATCCTCAGGCAGTGTCTCTCCTGGACCCCACACCCCATCTGGGGCAGAGCCACCTCCCCTCCAGACACTTGCTCTGGGGGAGCCTCCTTCCCACCGAGCTGCTTCAGCAAGACTCTCCTGGGGGAAATCCCATAGACTAATTTTTTAGGCTAAATTTGAGTCCCATCTTAGCCGACCTGGCAGGCTTGCCCAAGCCCAAGTCCTCGAAAGGAATAGACAGGCTATTTTTAGTGGGGAGGCATAAATGGGGCTTTGTTTTCCCTCATGGAGGCCAAGGAACCACAGGGGGAGTCCGTGTTGAGGCCAAGCACCTGCCTCCCCTCTCCTCTGCTCCACAGCACAGACCATGAGACCAGGATGAAAACCTGCTCCTGCCCAGTGATTCCCCCCAGTTTATTTTTAGCCCAGGATAATTTGTCCTCTTCCAGGAAACCAGAAAGGAATGCCTGTGAGCAGTTTCTAGTTCTGAAATAATGGGTTTGTGGTGTTCCTTCAGACTGTAAAACTTCCTTTTTGCCACCATGGACTGAGACCTCAGGCCTGGTCTTTGGTGAAACTGGAGTGAAAATGTTTCTCTGCCTTCTGAACCTTTTCCACACCATTGCCCTCTTTCTCCCGGGGCTCAGGACCCCATCAGTCATCTCTGCTTTGGTCTGACCTTCAGAGAACTCCACAAGACTCTTAGGTTGTTTGTTTTGTTTTCTAAACCCCCCCCCCCCCCCCCCAAGGGAAGACCG